GGTGACCTTAGGCAGGCCCTCAGTTTCCAGGACAATGATGAAGGCTATGTTCTCACCTGGGTGAGGAAATAAGTTGTGATTTTCCATTACCTGTACCAAACATTCCTTTTCATTTGTTTAATTCACTGAGCATTGATACTACACATTAGTTCATTGAGCAATTGCTTTGTGTAAAGGCCCAGAGATGAATGAGATAGTTGTTGCCATCAAGAAACATACTTTAGTCAAGGACACAGACAACTAACTCTAGTAAAAGGCAGAATGAAATAAAGGCCATAATAGGAGTATGAGCAAATTGCTGTGGGAGCATAGATAATACAATTTATTTTAATGAGGGAAGGAGAATTAAGGAATTCATAGGTTTATCATTGGCAAGCTCCAGTGAAAAATCCAGTGCAGCATGGCTGGAGGGATTGTGAAGAGGTTTGGAGGTTACATTTGGGTCTGTTCCTGGGAATTTTGAAGCCCATACTAGTTTTGTAATTAAGAAGAACAAAAATTTTTGAAGTGGGTCAAGAAAGGCAGTTTAGGAAGCAATCTGTAGTGGTATGAAAGGTTGAAGAAGTAAAAACTGAAACAGGGTGACCAACTTCTGTGCCTGACTGGATATTAGGGGATAGGGAATAATACAAGATGCTTCTGGTGTTTCTAGCCTTAGAGGCTAGGACAATATAGTACACATAACGGAAAGGGCGATCTAGATAGAAGGATCAGTTTGCTAGAGAACATATTTGGTTGGGACTGTACTGAGTTTAGTGTGTGAGATATCATTTACAGACTTAAGGTGGTTCAGGGGTTCAGAAGGAATTGCAGAGTCATCTGCTTGTAGGAAATTGTCAAAGCCATGGAAATGGCCAAGATGACCCTGGTACTGGGGAGAATACAAATGAATGCTGGAGATACTGCCTTTATTTATTTGAAGACAATCACTAATAAAGAGGACTGAGAGAAAAAAAAAAAAGAGGACTGAGAAATTTTCTGAGTGGTGGGAAGCGATAGGACTAGGTGTTCATTGTAGGAAAGTGGGAGAATTTAAGTGGGATGAGGATTAAGAGGAATTTATACTTGATAATTAGGTAGTTGTTGATAGTCTTGAAGGAGAGAGATTCATGGGAAAGTTGCTGCTGTTCTTTGATAGGATTCTTGAGGATGCTTGTAGACTAAGAGGAAAGGAGATGATGGAATAATGGACACAAAAAGTGAAAGTCCTGGGGCACCAGTTGGCTCAGTTGGTTAAGCGTCTGCCTTCGGCTCGTCATGTTCCCAGGGTCCTGGGATCGAGCCCTGCATCGGGCTCCCTGCTCAGCGGGGTGTCTGCTTCTCCCTCTCCCTCTGCCTGCCTCTCTCTCTCTGTCTACCTCTCTGTCAAATTTAAAAAAAAAGTGAAAGTCCTTAAAAAAAAAAAGTACCACACACTATAAGATCACAGCAAGTCAGCTTTTTATCCCAGATGCTCTGGAGTTGAAAGTCATTGATACCTAACAAATGCTATGATTTTTATCATTATACTGAATTCTGCTGAGGGGCCTTATCCATGACCCCTCCCTTTCATTTCCTTTTCCTCCCTCCCCCAAGCACTGCCATAAGTGCTACCAGTTGTTTAACCAGGAAAAATACTCATTACTTGATTTTTGTCAGGAAGTCTAGGCCACTGTGCTACTATGCCATAGGTTCCCAAAAACTATTCAAAGTGAAAATTCATAGTGTTTGGGTATTTTCAATTTAATTCCTATTGTGATATTTGGGGTTTTGTAGGACAACAGAGGGACAATAACACAAGGTATTTGCTAGGGGTTGGGGGTAGGGGCGAGATGGAGCAGATTCATAAAACAGGTTCCCTTCCCAAACAAAAGAATATTAGCTAAAATAAAGTCATTCAGTGTTGCATGTATCTAGCAATTGAATGTATTGAGAAGGGAAGCCTTATGGTTCTTTGAGTAGAAAGGTATTTAGCATAAAGGGGACAGATTTGGGCACAGTTTGGAAGTCTGAGAGACTCCTGGGAAAATAGTAAAACGGGAGAATTTGCTGTTCTTTTAGAGAGTAATAATTGTTCCAGAACCTCTTAAATGTATGGTTTAAAATATTAACCAGACACTTGAGAAGTTCTAGCTATGAACTAATTAAAGCTTTTTCCATAAATTATACTTCATCTAAATGCCTTTCTTTCCTGTATGAGTCCAAAACTGAATGAGTACATTTTAATGGCCACTCAATCTGTCAGTTTGTTTCTTTGAACAGCCATTCAGTGCTTTTCAGTATTATTAAAAAGAAAAGAGAGAAAAATAGGAAAGGGAAAAAGAAGGAAAGAAAAAGAACACAACATGGAGAGCCTACCTTTGCCCTTCTTACCATAATCACTATTATATCACTGAATAAGTTCCTGTTCAGAATCATGTTCTCCTGCCTGCTCTGTCTTTATGACTTGATGCTACTTGTATATAAGGCTTGTGTGAGCCATTCAACAGTACAGATAATAGGACTGTATCAAGTGTCAGAGCAGCAGCTGTGCATATCCATGGTATCATTGCAAAGATGAGCTTGTGTTCAATTTTTTGGTTGCAAGTAGCCCATCAGTCACTCAGGTCTAAAACCTTAGTGTCAGGTTTGTATTCTTCCTTTCCTCATACCCTCAACATCTAATCAATTGCCAGTTCTTTAGATGCCTCTTGGATCTGTCCCACTGATGCTACCCTAGTTTAGGCCCTCATTATTTATCAAAAGTATTGCAATAGCCTCCAACGAAGTTGGCCTTCTGTGACCTCTCCCTCTGTCCTACACAGAGCTTCCAGCATCATCTTCCTTAAGTGCCACATTATCATTGCTTTCCTCAAAATCCCTCAGTATTAGCCTACCATTTATAAAATCAAGCCCCAAATACACAACCACTGCTGCCTTTCATGGACCTTACACTCTAGTCAAACTTAATTATTCAATATTCCCTGTGTATGCATATCAAAGTTCATACTTTTGCTCATGCCTTCCCTCACTCCTCTCAGAAAAACCCTAAGCTTCATGAGAATAGGGACCACATCTATTTGGTTCACTGTTATATTCTCAGAGTCTAGCATCGTGGTTAATACGATAGGTGCTCATTAAAAACTGACTAAATAGGGGCGCCTGGGTGGCTCAGTCGTTAGGTGTCTGCCTTTGGCTCGGGTTGTGGTCCCAGCGTCCTGGGATCAATCCCCATGTCAGGCTCCCTGTTCAGTGGGGAGCCTGCTTCTCCCTGTCCAGCCCCCCCCGCTTATGTTCCCTGTCTCACTGTCTCTGTCAATAAATACAATCTTTTAAAAAAAACCCTGACTAAATAAGTTTCATGTATCCAAATCTACTTACCCTTTAAATTTCAGTTGAAATATCACTGTGCCAAAAAGTCTATACTGATACCTGCTTCCCACCTCAATACCTATACCTCATCTCTCTAAAACTGATTTGTTTTTTTCCTTAACTCCTATAGGCCCTATCTATCCCATTCTTATGACATTGATCACTTTCTTCCACCTTGGATTACAATTCTTTTTGTACATGTCTCATCTCCCACTAGACTGTGAGACTCAAGGCAGGAGCTATGTTTAATTCATAATTGTGCCCTAAAAAAGCAATGTTCACTGAATGGGCACTCAATGATTAGAATAGCCACACACGAGGCTTTAGCAAATCAGAGAAGTTAAGGGTTTATTATTATTTCTAATAATATGATAAGAGCTCTTCTGCTTTGCTCATAAACATCAAAAGGTGAAAATATTGTCTGGACTTCAATTAGCCAAAATATAGGTGAAAATATTGGCCGAACCTCCTATTAGCCAAGATATATGGTCATCATGGCTTGAGACTGAATTCTGGCTAATCTCCAAAAACTAGAAAGTCATGATTCACATAATTCATGAATTTGCAAGTTGTTTTCTCCTACAATGCTTATTAACTATAATAGTATTTTATTTGGGACTCTCGACATCTAAATAAATTCAGTCTTTAAATGGGATCTTTGGCTATACATTTCCTTTTAATTTAAATCAAAACTATATGCCATGTTACATGCATTGCATATATATCAATTTCCAGATTTCCACTTTCCTTTGAGTTCTTGGCATTAAGCTCAAATTCCCCTAGTTGGGGATACTAAGGTTTTCAGACTCCCTACTAAGGAATTTGCCTCTGGGGGAGAAAAGAAAAAAGCTAATGTATTTGATTCCTAGAGCAACCCAAAATTCCATGGGAAACAATTGTCTTGTCAGGTACTTTGGATCATATAATTTATAGATCTGGTTATTACCTTGTCTAACCCTCCATCTTCAAGTCAACCCACCCATGATGAGAGATTCTTTTGAAAGCCCTCCAGAGAATAATTATATACAATGCTTTATTACTCATTCCAGATTTTTACCCCTCTGAGCAGTTGAAGTCCATTTGCTTTCATTCTGTAATCAAGACTAAACAAACAAACAAACAAACAAACAAAAAATCCAAAACCCAAAAACAACTCTTTTCTGTATCAAGAGTTTCCCTGGAAGATATACATCACCCTTCTGACTTTTCTGGTCTTAAGTTGTGCAAACATTTCTACACTACACTGGCAGGAAGTGCTAAAGAATACTTAAAGAAAATCTTATGATTCCCACAGGTATGTGTGTCTGAATATATTCCATGATTTCCTCCTGACCAGGTCCTTAAATAAACACTCTTGTAGGGGCATCTGGGTGGCTCAGTCAGTTAAGCGTCTGCCTGCAGCTTGGGTTGTGGTCTCAGGGTCCTGGGATCAGGTCCCACGTCTGGCTCCCTGCTCAGCGGGGAGTCTGCTTCTCCCTCTCCCTCTGCCCCTACCCCCTGCTCATGTTCTCTCTCAAATAAATAAAATCTTAAAAAAACAAACAAACCAGGAACACTCTTGTACTTCTGTTCAGTTGAACCTTCTCCTTCTAAAATGTTCTTACATCCTGTCTTTATACTTCAGTTTATGCCTTTTCACTCATCCTTAATATTATCATAGGCAGACAACATTTAATGTATTATCTTAACTTTATTTAATAAGTGAGTATGCATTACATATAGATTGCAAGTCATTCTTGGTCCTGTGAAGAGACAGGTGGTTAATCTGAAGCAAAATGAGAGCATGAATCCACAGTTCTATTGCTACTGAAATACTTCTTCTGGGTGTCTTGTATGGGCAGTCTCCCTCAATACCCATTCAAAGCAGGCTTTGCTGTCACCTCTCCCTTCAGCTGAGGGATTCACAATATCTAAAGTCAGCTTGTAAAGAACCCTTCTGTATCAGAGGTAGTTTTATGCCTGCATTATAAATCACAGAAGACATTTGGTCAAAGACTCCATAAAAGGGGCAGAAGGTAAACACCAGAGCTCAGAGTTGGAACCAATTATTTTTTCAAGCTAAGCACTGGCCATAGTAGCAAAAGTATCAACCAAATTTTGGAATAGCCTGTTCAGCTATTTAACATCAAAGCATGCATAGCCTGTACAAACAATAGCTTTTTAGAGGAAACCTTGAGTTTGGCTTAAGCACCAAGAACACATTTTAAAAAGTGAAAAGTACATTTATGTGCAATGACTAGTGTAGTGAGCTAAATAATGGCTTCCCCCAAATTTGCCCATGTTCTAATTCCTGGAACCTGTGATGTTACATTATTTGGAAAAAGGGTCTTCACAGGTGTAATTCAGTTAAGAATACTGAGATGAGGAGACTTTTATGGATAAACCAGGTGGGTCCTAAATGCCACAAGTGTTCTTATAAGAGAGAGGCAGAGGTAGATTAGATATACAAAAGGAAAAGTAATGTAAAAACAGAGCAGAGAGAGATTTGGCCACAAGCCAAGGAAGGAATGACAGTCACAAGAAACTGAAGAGACTAGGACCAGATTTTCTTCTGGGGCTTCCAGAGGGAGTACAGACCTGCCAAGACCTCAATTTAGGACTCAATTTAAATTTCTGTTGTGTTAAGCTACCATGTTTTGTGTATTGTTATTACAGCAGCCACAGGAACCTAATACAGATTTTGGAAACAGGAAGTAAGGTACTCCTATAATGAATAACTAAAAATGTGGAAGTGGCTTTGGAGTGGATAATGGGTGCTGGCTGGAAGAACTGTGAGGCATTTGATAGAAAAAACATACACTGCTATTAGAAATATGAATGTTAAAGGTGCTTCTGGTGAGCTCAGAAGGAACTGAGGAACATTTTATTGGAAACTAGAAGGAAGGTGATCCTTGTTATATAGTGGCAAAGAGCTTATCTGAATTGTTTCCAACAGTTGTATGGAAAGTAGAATTTGTAAGTGATGAACTTGGATATCTAATAGCTGAGATTTCCAAGCAAAGTGTTGGAGGTAGGGCTCATTTTCTTCTTGAGCTTACAGTAAAATACAAGAAGAAAGAGGTAAATTGAGGAAATAATTGTTATGCAGAAAGGAACCAGCACTTGGTAATTCAGGAAATTTTGAGCCTGTTCAGATTCCAAAAGATGCTAAAATTAGCTGATGCACTATTAGGATAGTGTGCTCTGGAGATAAAGCCAACCTCTGGCTTGTGTTGAAGAGATTAGGCATTGACTCACGGATCCACTCGATCATCTCAACAGAAGCCAAGAATAGAGATGGCATTATCCAGCAAAGATCTGTGAGGACTCTTATCTCAATATTGAATCAATTTGACATGCATGGGAGGCCCACAAAGTTTTTGAGAAACAGTTCTAGCTTGGCCTGAAAAGGATCGAGACAGGACAAAATGAGAGAAAGTTGTCAGACTACCAAAGTTTCACAGGCAAGAAACAGGATGATAAAGCTGCAAACATGTGCTACCCTTCAATATAAAGGGTCATTCTTAGAGCAGAACTGCAGGTACAGAGGCAGAGGCCCAAGCAGGGGAGCAGAGGCAGAAGTGCAAACCATGGGCACAGAGACAGACTTGATCCATGGGCCAAGAGGCCAGAACTGCAGGCCTAAAGGGTGGGGTCCTGAAACAAGGAGGATTGTCAGGCCAAGAAACCTAGGGGGATTTTGCCTGGCTGAATTTTGAAAGTCATCAGGCCATGTGACTTCTCTCTATTTTCCATTTTCCCTGGTTTGAAATAGCAATGTCTATAACTCTTGCCCTATGCCTGTTCCACCATTGTGTTTTGGAAGCAGATAACTTGTTTTGCTTCATTTATTCACATTTGGAGAGGAATTTTGCCCCAGGATTTTCATCTATACCTGATTTAGATGATCTAGATGATGGGATTTGGGACTACTGAACTGATGATGTTTGGATGAGATTTTAGATTTAGAGTTGATGCTGTAATGGGTTGAGACTTTTGGGAATGTTGAGATGGGGTAAATATATTTTGCACATGGGACATATATAAATTTTGGGGGCCAGAGGGCAGACTGTAGTGGGCTGGGGGGGGTGCCTCCAAAAAGGTATGTCCACATCCTAACTCCCAGAACCTGTAAATGGAACCTTATTAGGAAAAAGGATCTTATAAGAGAGGCATAGGAAGATTAGATACACAGAGGAGAGAGTGATGTGAAGATGGAGCAGAGACAGATGTAGCCATAATCCAAGGAAGGCCAATAGCCACTACATGCTGGAAGAGGCAAGGGAAGATTTTCCTCTAGAGACTTTGGAGGGAGCAGAGCCCTTCATTTTGGACATTTTGCCACAGGGACCATGAAAGAATACATTTCTGATGTGTTAAGCCAAGTTTGTGGTACTTTGTTACAGCAGCCAAAGGAAACTAATGCAACTACTAAACATTCTAAGGATTTTGTATTTTTAAAAATCATTTTGAAGAAAATTTGCATAAAATGGTGCTTCTCACTGTGGCAGTAATAAACCTAACAAAAGACTTTAGTGTAATTTGGTTCTATACTAAAAATGTTACTATGTACTTTTTCTGGTGATAATTTTCAATCTCAAACAAAACTGCAAATGGCTAAAGCAGGACCATTATAAATCTGGGAAGCAAAACCTTTAACTTAATTATTGGAACTTCATGAAAGACCCTGAAAGGTTCCATACTGTTTGTGAAAACCATGTGAGATTTCTCTAAATACAAATATATAATTTATCAATAATAGTATTTCATTCATTTCTTTTCACAAACTTAAAAATAAGGCAAGTTCACGTTTCGAAGAGGTGAATACTGTGTATCATCAGTATTTCTATCCTGACCATCTTTTTTTTTTTTTCTTCTGACCATCTTCATAATATGGCATGGCAAATGCCCCTAAATTTTAGTCAGGGTTAATATTTCAAAATATCATTTTCCTACAGCCTGAAAGTCTACCAAAAGACTCAGGCCGTGCCATGAAGATTTCAGAAAAGATTTTGTGAAGTCAAAAATACACACATTAATTATTTACATAAATTTGTATATCTTTGTTGTTGTTGTTAAGAAAAAGTGTATGAAATTGATATGTCCCTCAAACTTGTTTGTGTATGCATATGTGTGTGTCTTAAGATAGGATAAAACCATAAAATCTCAGATACTGTTAGTCTTTTTGATTTCTCTATTGTAGCAGCTTCAGAGATTTTTTTTTAAATATCATACCCAAGTAAGAATGCACTGGAGGAAAAGGTAGCAGTTTGAATCATTATACATCTATATAAAGGAGACTGAATTATTGGTCACTTGTTTACATTATTTCAAATGGTGACCTGCCAAGCCAGTTGTTTGTTCTTTCTGAACGTCTATAGTGTGCTTTGGAGAAGTAGAAATAGGATCTTCTATATAAGAAATATACATATAAGAAATTTTTTACAGTAATGACAATCATCTGCATGGATTAGTTTTAAAATTACACTCCAGAGAAGTTATACCACATTATTTCAATGCATATTTTAAAGTAATAGACAAGTTAAGTATAACTTCTATGCCTTCATCTATTTAAGAAATATGTAGAGCATGTTTTTCCTCCTAGGGTTGTTTTGGCAGCATCATTTTAATTTATTAATATAAGGTAAGTAAGTATGATGATCACTGAGAAGTTCACTTAGTCACTGGGATGTGGAATTATTATAGTAGGAGATATAAACATATACACATATATACACATACATACATATAATTTTTTTCTTCTTCAGACCACCAAGGCAGAATCAGAAAGGGGAGAAGAGAGGCAGATAAAACAGTTGACCTTTCAGACAGTTTTCTGCTGCCTGCAGAGAGAAATCTTTTTCCTCTCAGGTCTTTTAGAAACTCTATTCCCTGCTTTCATGGGGGGTCATGGGAGAAAGAAGCAATATAAGAAATAAACCACAGAGAATAGGAATCAATATTTACCTTTAAAAAATCTTAATAAAGGTAATAGAATTTTCAGGTTCATCCCAGAATAAACATTAAAATGTGAGGTTTTTCTCAAAAAATAGTCATACGAAGTATTTGTATAAAGTAGATATATGTGCATAATTAGAAAATACCTCTTTAAATAAAGTTTAAATCACTTTCTCTGCTTCTGTTAAACTCTAGTTTATTTTTAGCAATGATAAGTGCCTGCAACATCATGCTGAAACTCTAGATTAATGATAAGTTTAATTTCAGCCAAAGCAGATGAATCCATCAGCTTTCACTTGAGATAAGATTCTAAATAAATTCATGGGGTTGAAGCAGTACTTTTTTTTTTAGTTTCCAAAATGGCTTCTCTTGCAGAGTACCTCTCCAAATCATTAATACACACATTTTCATTGGCCTTTTCTTTTTCTATGTAACAGGAATCAGAAGCAGACATTGAATAATTCTATGTCCTTTCTTTTCCTTTTTTTTGGGGGGGGGTGACCTGCAATTTGATTAACATTGTAATTTTTTGACAGACTGAATGTTTTTGAATTTCTTATACTTTTCATCATTACCATCAGGTCACACACAATAACAATACACATCTTTACACTAAAATGGAACACATGTTTTATAATCCTTGTAATTGTGTTTGTATAATTGTGAAAGCATCTTGCAATAGCTGTAAAAATACATGCTATTTCACCCAGCTTAGCTTGATCCTTGCAGAAATGCATTTATTTCCTCTCTATCCCTTGAGTGGATATTTTGTTCTTCTCAAAATATATGATTTCTTTTACTTAAATATTTTCATATTCTTTGGCATCAGGATTCACTTAGATGAGATAGCTCCATTGTGGCGAGAGCGTGACCTTTCCAAAGGTACTCGTCTGTTATCTGTAAGACAAAGAGAAAAAGAACCAAAAACACGTGAGCTTTAGATCTTGGCTATTACACAATGTCAGGTCAAGAGAGGTTTTCGAATAGTCCTGAAAATCACTTCAAATGAATATGTAAATAAGTAACAAGGAGCCCAGATCTGAGGAGTTCATGCTGCAGCTCCCAGGCTGAGTTCAAGAGTCCTGCAATCAGCAGTAAATAACTTTTCTTGGTAAGTGAAATCAGAGTGATGAAAGAAATGGAAGAATTCTCTCAAGCACAGTCCCCTTGGAAATTGCAGGTGACAACAAAATTCCTTGGTAAAGATGTCAGATTGAAAGGATCTATGTACAGAGCCCTTTGTTGGAAAGCACTTCAATTTTCAATTCCCCATGAGTTTTCTTTTTCTTTTTTTTTCCCCCATGAGTTTTCACAATCTGTATATGGGCTACCTCTAGAGGACACCAGGGTAGGCAGAGCAGAAAAGAATTTTTATTTTTTTTAACAATGATGGCAATATGTGCCAATCAAACAAGCTACTGAATCTTTGCCTGACTGTATGATGTAAACATATTCAACACATTATATAAGTCATTATGGGAATGAATAATGAATAGGTCCTATTCCCCTCAGAGGAAGAATAATCACTGTAGAGGTAACTGTTGGCACAAAGCTTGGAAAGCAAAGTTTAAAAGCATTGATGGTTGCTCAAAAGAGTTTTAGCTTTAATAGAGAAAAGGTTTACAGCTCTGCATTGTGATGATCACTACTTTGTTATTATCACCTCTGTTTTATGCTCAGCTTAAATGCAATTGATGTGGATGAAAATCCCTTTCTGACAAAAGCATAATACACTTAGATTCTCTATTTAAAATGAGACTAGGTCCCTCAAAATAATGACAACCACCAGCACTTACATAAATGCTAACGCTTAACACCTGTTAATTTGCTAATTCACTCAACATCCCTGGGAGGTAAGTCTATTTCATTCTACCCTATTATTTCTGCTTTAGTGATGAAAGTTAAACAGCAAACCAGTAGTATGATGGGGGATTATAATGCAAAGTTAATGCCTAAGTATCAGGACTGCTTTGTTCAGAGGTAGATGTTGGGGCCTCCCAAGCTACTAACCATATCCTCCCTGAAATGATGATGCCCAAAGAACACATCCTGCCTGTCCCATGGGGAGGATGGACTATGAGAAGTGCTGAGGTTTGCTGTTGTACCTTTCTGCTCCGTGCTAGTGTCTCTGGACTGATTCCTGGTAGTCTGTGGTCAGTTCACAGAACAAAACTAACTGGCTTCTATGACCTTGGTCTTGTTAACATCGCATATGACTGCATTGAGCCAACCAGCCATAAGCTTAAAGTGCCTTAAAAATGCAATAATATCACTGAGAGGTGAGAAAGAAAGGCATTTTCTCTATTCAGAGATATATCTGAGTGAAGGATTATTTGGGTATTCTTTTAAAGATACCATTTAAAAAAGTCATTATTTAGTTTGTGATCTAGAGCACAATTCAGCAAAAATGTGAAGATAACATTCCTAGATAAAGGGCTTATTACTTAGATGTCACTAGTTTGCATACAGATTGGTTTGGGACTTAGAAAACATTTAAAATGAGATTATAATATAATGGTTACCAATGATTTGCTAGTATTTAAACATTCAGTATTAAAAGCCACCAAATATAAGAATGATGGTACCATTCTCAGAGGATTGTCTCAGCTCAAAAAAGGGCTTGTGCCTTGGTGGTCCTACACACTAAGGTCAACTGGCATTGCGCTCAGGAATGCCACTGGCTTCCCATACCATCACTCACAGCCCACTAGATTTAAGACAAGTACCACATTAAAAAAAACCAGACTCATAGCATTAAATGATGTGGTATCAGGATTCACTTATTGGTAGCATTTGGTATGAGAAAATAAACTTTCAGGTGAAAATGAACTGAGGAAAGGGCATTGAAGCTTTTGGAAGACAGGATAAACACTGGCTCAGGGCCCAAATCTAGCTCTTGACATGCACAAGAGAGAATGATTCTACATTTCCTCCCTCTCTTCCTTCTCTCTCTTTATATATTTTTGGTACCAAACTGATCCCTATGTTAATGAGATAAGAGGAAGCAATTCTGAAAAAGTTACCACGTACTTTTGAAATGTCAATGTACAACCTTATTTATGGGGAAAAAATGCCGTTAGAAACAATGGCAACAATGGCAACAATGACTAATTTGGATTTTGTGATCAAATTATAATTTTCTGCATTTATATTAAAACTATTTTAGGTGCAAAATATACTCTAGATTTGTATGGATCAAGCAGAAAGTGAAATTTAGAAGATAACATGTTTATAAATGTATATGACATGAATATATATATTCATCTTTTTTCACACTCTTAGTAGCTTGCAATCTAATGATGAAAACTTGTCATGCTCAAATGCATGTCTTCTTTGAGACAAAGACTAAGAATCAGTGAATTTTTTGAAATAAAAATTCTATAATTATAGTATTAAATACTAACGGGTAAAAATCTGGCATGGCCCTCATAAGGTAAGGGCACTAATTTTTTTTTTTTTT